TTTTCTATTATCACTCATCAGATCCATCTGTTCCAGTTCCTATTTAAACTGTTTGGCCCCAGCCATAGGTGGCAGATTATTGGAGCTGTAGGCGAGAGGTGCCTAGTGTACCCTGTGTGTTATTCTGATTGCCTGATCCTGACTAGTTTCTGCTCATGTACTCCGAGTTAGCATGCCCCGGTTCTGATCTGTTTGCCTGACCTGTCTTCGGACATCCTTTGGATTCTGCCTTCTAACAACCTTGGATCTGTCTCCTGAACTGGCTTGGATTTCCTTTAGGTACCTCTTCGGATCTCAGTTCTTCTGGCCTGGACTTGTGTTTCCTCATCGACACTGGTTGTTGATTCTCCTTTCGGATACTTCTGCTCTTCCTTGTCTGCCCTGCAGCACCTTTGGCTTCTACTCCTGGAACTCTCTGGGCGGCTTCCGCTGCATGCTGTGGGAAATCATCCAGCTAGATTCCACTCCTTCTTCTTGGCTCAGACTGAACTTAAAAACCAGGTTAGTGACTCACATGCTCACTATCATTCCCCGTCAGAGTTACGTGGTCACTAACCTGTGTTTTTACCTCTACAGAAGATTCCAATTATCTAGTCCACACTGACGAGCTATAGATCAATGAGCAGTTAATGAGCGCTTTTTATAAATCACTTCAGTCTGTCTGCCTGAATTCTGGGTCGAACGTTCTGAGTTCTGACACCCCAGACCTTTTTTCATCTTTTGAAGAGTTATGATGAAAATCCTTGGCATGTTTATAGTCTCTTTTGTAATATCCCAACACAAAACAGTGTGAAATCATGAGTTTGAAGAAAAAGGACACATTTATTTCTTTTCTTCATTCTTTCTCAGTTTCTCAGTTGGAATTAGATTTGAGCTTTTGCTGGATCCTATCACCCAACAATGTTTACTGTGGCCGTATTTTGCAATGCTAAAGGGGGAATGTCTGATCCAGTGCTGAGCTCTGGACAATAATCATGTTCATCTTGTGATCTACTGGACTGCTGGTATTCGGATACATCTTCTCACTGGATTTACCTCTGTTATTAAGCACATATCGCTCTGGGATGACAGCCTTATTAATCGAACCTCTTGAGTCCGGCATCTCTGAGACAGAGAGTCATAGAGGTTAAACAGCACTAGACAGACTTTAGAAGAACATTGACTACGGCCTTCCATTTTAATACAAAGACTACATTCAAAAAGAAACTCATAAATGTGTTTGAATTATAACAAAATTATAACCAAAAGTCAGTTCTTAAAACCCACAAGATGACACGTCTAAACACACAACCATGACAAACAGGATATTTGGTTTTAACAGGAAACTGATGTCACATTGTGCTCCACCTTTTCTGCCCCAGTTTACACCTTTTTGAAAATGCTGCATCTGAATTAATAAAACCACAACAGTTTGAGTGAATCTCACTCATTTGCAGGGCTTTACCTCTCTTTCTGGTTCTAGTGGGCAAGCTGAAGTAAATGTCCTCAGCATGAATGTGCAGTGCTCTGTAGAACTCGAAACATGCTTCGTCACCTTTCCCGTGGAGGAACATCAGCAGCTCACGTAGCCTCACCTCAGTAGGGACACTCAGGCTTCTGAACTGCAGAGAGGCAGGAGGCCATTTAGAGGAAATTTCACTGAGCTAGCATTTCTACCAGTAATCTTCATCAGATTTTCCTTTAAATAAGGCCTCGGTTAGTTGATTAAACCAAAGACAAAAAGTCTGCGGAAGGAGTGTTTTTTTGTTTTTGTTATTTTTATTAATTATTTTATATGGGGAGTGTTGGCCCAGTGGTTAGAGCATTGTGCTTGGCTCCCGGAGCTTCTGAGTTCAAGTCCCACTGCTTCCCACAGACTGCCACTCTGGGTACCTGAGCAAGACCTTTAACCCCAGACTTTACTTTTACCTTACCCTTATTTTACTTTTGTAAACTAAAATATTTTCTATTATTCAAGCTTAATATACTATTTGAAATCAAATATACTGTCCAAAGACGTTCTTATGGTTATCAATGAGTTGTGGTTGAATTTCTGAGTTTTTGGAAGCTTACGAGGTCAGATGCTGATGCTGGAAGAGAGGACCTGATTCAAAGTCTGAACAAGGGGTTATTGGTTGAGGTTAGAACTCAGGTCAGGCCAGAATAACTTTACGTCAACATGTCTTTATGGTCTTTATTTTATCCACTTGTGAGCATCTCTGGTAGAAAAAAGCAAAATCTCTAAACTGCTCCCAGAGAAACAGAGTAGGTCACAGGAGGTTGTCCCAGATGTTTTGGTATGCTTAAAAATAAAGAGATTCATTTTTACTGCTGAGTCAATTTCAAAAATAGACCTCCATCATAACATATATTTTTTCTTCTTGTCACTCAGATGGGACTAGAAGAAGCTGCATATTTATCTTAAAATCATGTATACTTAAGAGGACAGGGATGGAAAGAAAAGTCCCAAAAACTTGGTAAGAGGCTTTGGGAAAATGTAATTTTAGGTCACCAAATCTTAATAACTAAGATTAGATGCTATATACATGTCAGACATTTTGTTAGGTTGAAATGCCAGGAGAAATACTTTACTTTTAGAGTTTTTTTTAAACTCTACATTTTTTTATATTACAGACTAAACAAATGAAACAAAGATTGGGCATTTTAGCAACAAATACCCCTTGCAGGCTTGGTGTGAAACAAAATATGAATACATGGGAATGTATTGTATTTTGTATTTCAAGTGCAAATATTTGTGGATGTTTACTTTTGCCTAATAATGTATAAAGTGACCTTGCAGGCTTCGTTGTCACTGAGTATCTGGGGGTAGATCCTGTTGAGCTGCAGCACCAATCTGTCGACCAGTTCAGTGTCCATCCTCTGATGAGAGCACAGAAACTGAGCATCGCTGCAGAGCTGCTCATCATAGTCTTCTGTGTCTGGTCAGTACAGATCAAGAGGACATTAGTAAATATATTTTTTTCAGCATGAAAAAAGACCACCCCTATTCTGCTCAAACTGTAGCTCATTAAACACCAGAAGGAATGGGCCCCCTAAGGTACTAAGAACACATTTTGATATAAAGATTACAAGTAATATTTTTCCTTTTTATTGTTTTAATCTACTAAACAAAAAGCCATGCTTAGGCCTAACAATTTTCCATTGTAATTGATTTAAACAGAGATTTCAACCTTCTTTTAACAAAAAATACCTTCTAGGTTTTTATCCCTTTACAGGAAAAAGCATGTGTGGATTCTCTCCGGGTACTCTGGCTTCCTCCCACAGTCCAAAAACATGACTGTTAGGCTAATTGGCTTCCATAAATTCTCCTTATGTGTGAGTGAATGGTTATTTGTCCTGTTTGTCTCTGTGTTGCCCTGTGATAGACTGGCGACCTGCCCATTGACAACTGGAGATAGGCACCAGCACCCCTTGCGACCCCAAAGTTAATGAACTGACAAAGGAAGACTCGGACAACAACAAAACTAGTGCAAACTGTGCCCACCCGAAATTAACAAACAAGTCTTTATGTCAGCCACGTCCACTTAAAACTTAAAGCAACACATTGAGTTGACCTCCTGGATATTCAAAACTGTTGTTTTTTATTTTATTTTGTTTTTAAAGTTTAAATATAGTTTAAATAAGAACATAATAAAATAAAAAATATGAACATGTATGGATAGATATATATATATATATATATATATATATATATATATATATATATATATATATATATATATCTCCTGGATATTCAAAACTGTTTTTGTTTTTTGTTTTATTTGACTGGGGAATGGCACCAGGGTACAGGCTTTTATCCCAGGACTAGTGTTCCAGTTAATAGCTCTGGCTATACATATGTGTGTTTCATACCTATAAAACATATTTCACTGACTTCTGAAAGAAATAAAATTAGCAAAGCTAAGGCTGACTGTGCTGCAACAGCTTTACAAAGCCCAGGTAGTCTATTGAATCCTCATGTAACTCACAATGTTCCGTAAATCCAATGGCTCCTCTCAGCTCTTAAAACATTTAGCAAGGTTGACCTCTTGATAAAATGTAGAATGTTCCCAACCAATCAGTAACATTATAAATTACATATTAAAGTTGTGCTATATTTAAAATGCTTGCAACATGTGCTTATTTTTGTTTAGTGAGGTTTTTATAGGTAAACACTTCCCACACATAGTAAAAGTAAAAAAAAAGCACCCAATTATCTGCTCAAATTTCTGTCTGCATGATTAATTTCATTTTGCTTGTTTATTTAAGACTTTCATATATGTTAGGAGCAGTACATAGGCAACCTACTGTGTGTCATTTTAGTGGTACACAGCATAAATTGCTACAGAACCACTGCCATCATGCAAACAGACTTCCCTCCCAATGAAAGCATACAGCTAAATGATTAGTGCAGATTTTATGTCTCGACTTAATCTGGAGATAGAGTTAGCCCTGCTCCGTACATAAATTACTAAGAGGTTTATTGCCACATTTAGCTAAGGATGCAACAAAAATAGTTGGACACTGTCTGTCTGTCTGTCTGTCTGTCTGTCTGTCTGTCTGTCTGTCTGTCTGTCTGTCTGTCTGTCTGTCTGTCTATCTATCTATCTATCTATCTATCTATCTATCTATCTATCTATCTATCTATCTATCTATCTATCTATCTATCTATCTATCTATCTATCTATCTATCTATCTATCTATCTATCTATCTATCTATCTATCTATCTATCTATCTATGTCTACTGCAGAGTAGCCATAGGTCCAAAAACCTTACCTTCGATTGTCAGTCGTGCCATAGCACGCAAACAGCATTTGGGACTCACTTTAAAGTCCCTGGACAGTCTCTGTTGCCTTGTCCCACACCGCGACCTGACTGACCTCCATGGCAGGATAATACTAGATTACACCCAGACAACCAGCTGGGAGGCTGCAGCTTTCAGTAGCAAACACTGATTCACTCAGCCGCTGGTACATTTTTACCTATATACCTTCAAGGTGGACATACTTAACAGCACCACTCTATTTTAAAAGGATTTAATAAGTTTGAATCATTATTGACATCATTATGCAGGCATTGAAAGTCAAAACATTTCTAGAGCAGATTCTTGCACATTGATATGTATTTTCCAGTGAACATCCTTAACCTTTAGAGATTTTGTTTTAGGCGTGAAACTGTTTACATCATTTAATGTCAGGATTTTGTATTCCCAGGATGGCAGACATACTAAAACTGCATTGGCTCATAGCTTCCTCCAGGGGGCAGTGTGCTATCACAGTTTGATTTGCAGCAGAAGCTGTGGTGTCAGGTGAGCGTCTATAAACCATTGTACCACAGACTTTCAGGATTTTTGTTTTGTTCCCCAAACATACTGCTTTCTGATGACTCATTTATGAGTTGAAGTTGTTAGACTTAATGCAGTCAACTTAAATCTTTACTCTGTCAGAAACAAAGCTTCACACTGATATGATCTTGATGGAAACTTCTTTGGGGGTTATATTCCTGTTTGTGTTTATATTCCTTGCGTTTCCTGGGGTGACTTCAGACATATTGTACGGCTGTCCCGCATACTGCCACACCTGTCCCGACCCCGGTGCTGAGAAGTGAACCAGTCCTGAGTTTGCAGCTGGACACGGGGAGAGAGGAGGTCCTGGATACTCAGGTGGACAAGCGGACAGGTTTTGGGGTAAAAGGGGCTGGTCATAGTCCTGTCCAGGAAGGGCAGCAAGACGCGGCATTGGGGAACCACTGGCGTACTGCTGCTGACATCTGTAAAGGAGGAGATAGTCATGTTTCTCTGATGCTCCCAAGCAAATTGGAATCTACTTCACTCTAAGATTTGCCTTTACCTGCACGGTCGAAAGTTTTCACACATGACTGGGTTTGCAGTTTCCCACCAAGGTAGCACCTTCTCCTCTGCATTGTTATTGTTGTTGTTCCAGCCTTTATGACTGTAACCAGACCTTCTGTCCTCCTGCCATTGGTCCTGACCCTCCCAGGAGGGACCATCAGACTCTCTGTTACAAAAAGTAATAAAAACTGTTGAGGGAAAATAATCTTGGGGGGGCACCTCTACTTTTTTTTAATCACATTATCTCAAATATATACTTTGTTATATCTACTAGAAGAGAGAATTCAAAATCCATTAGAGGTTGGAGAGCCTAAAGCAGAAGCTTTAATTCAGAGAAACAAAGCAAGGATGGCTTTGGGAGACCTAAACCTTCCAAGTGGTTCCTCCTTTCTTTTGTTCCTCCATCTGTACCAACCCTCTAGGCTCAGTGACAGAGAACCCAGCATTTAGAATATTTGCACATAGATAGATAGCATAGCACAAACGTTGGTCATCAACGTAAGCCAAACCATAAGAAGCACATATTTAAACACATTTATACAGCACTAGGATATCACAATCCTTTGAGTCCTCAACTCTGACCCCATGCTCAATCACCCTTTCCTTTTTCCAACTTTTCTGATTTCTGTCTGTCCCTTTAGTAACTCTCTAGACATCACCTTCTGGTAAAAATGGGGAAAGTAAGACTTTGTTCTGAGAAGTCCGGTTTGAAGAATAAAAAACCCTTGCGTGACAGGGGGACATGTGTGGAAATAGTGTTTTTTTTGTATCATCATTGTGGCAATGACACAAAATAATAATGACTTAAAAATGTGAAAACTGTGTAAAAGGAAAAGGGTGTAAATAATCCTCTTATTGGGAGTTACAACTGTAATTACAGAAATACTGTTGAATAGTTTGAAACCTTGAATGATTACGGCTCCATAATAATCAGTTTGTGGTGAAAAAACAATAAATCCTTGATTTTCAAGAAATTCAGTCTTGGTTATGTGTCATACTGTTATTGGCTGCAGTTATTTCATTTGTATTTGTTTATTCTAACCCGATAATGTTTTTGAGCATTGGAAACTCATTAGTCTTGACTTTATACCCAATAGAACAGCCAATCATGATGATTGGCAGATTATGCACTTTGGAGGTGGGGGGAAAAAACAAAGATAACACTATAAGGAGTTCTTTTTGAACACACAACTTTTGTTGTGTTGTTCTGTCATCTCATATTCCTAAAACTTAGACTTACATTCCTGGTCGTAGTGAGACAAAATACACAGAAGTAATTGTTTCCCATTTAATATCTGTGCAAAAACCGAAACGCCTCCACTTATCCTAGGTGCACGTTGTTGATCACTTAAGATATTGTAAGACAGCAAGACTTGTCCATAAATTCTCTCACCTTTGGTTTTTGCTTTTCTCATCTTCGATGCAGTCCAGTAAACAGCAGGTGATGAAGGCCACAGACATGAGCAAGATTATTCCTGAGCTTATAATGGATGCCAGGACAGCTACACGGAAACCATAGTCCCCATAGGGGGAAAAAGCTGAAGCATAAAAGAAAAATTAATTAATTGATTTGTTTTTATTTTGTTCTGTGTGCTTAAAAAATCACTAGTCATTAATTAAAATATGGGAATAATGTGAAATCCACCCTGTCCTAGGCTGGTCAATACTCTTTGTGACACATGCAAACACATTATTAAGGTTTGACTGCTGTGGTCCACAGAGACTGGCAGTTTTAAAATAATTTAAGATAATCTTTGTGCCAGCCAATCAAGTAGGATAAAAAACTAAATACATTTTTATTTTTTATTTCCAGGTTTTTTTATTCGTCCTAAAACATAATTATTACTCAGTCTAAGCAGAAACATCAGCATTCCTACTTTTAATGTTGCTGTAACACTAACTATTTATTCCATTCTATTATGTATCATCGCATAACTTTACTTATTGTTTTAATTGTTTTCTGCATCAGCAGGCAAATTATATTTTGGTTGTAACTTTTCTGTTGTGACTTACGCTGACAGAAGGCCCTCTCGTCCCATTGAGGGCCGTTGGTGCCCATGATGCACGTAATATTTTTTTCCACCGACCGTTGCCAGGGTGGGCAGTGCAGGGAAATGACTGTGCCCACATTGGTCCCGTTCCCCTTGACGATCCTTTGCCGGCCCACAGCCGGCAGGGGCATCGGGATGCACTGAGCCTGTGGACGGCCTGAAGCAGAGAGTTGGAGGAACTTAACTTTGCACAACAAATACAACTTTTGAAATGGGATGTGTTGTTTGCATCTAATGTAAATATTATGCATGTATTTCACTAGAAATCTAGTTAGCTGTATGCTGAGATTCAGGGGGAAGCATATGGTCAAAAACCATTAAGGTAGCAGTGGAGTGGAGAAGAGGGTGGCCATTCCTCAGCTATCAGCACTGAGACCCTTTAGGGCTGCTCAGCGGTACGTGACAAAACATAGCCCCCCCCTCAGCCTTGTGCACACTGAATCGGCAGAAACTGTATGAAAACAGGAAGTGTGATAAATCATTGAACACGGCCCCAGAGGTTGGTGGAAACTCACAGGCCATCTGGAACCTAAACAACTGACTGTCATATAGAACAGCATGGTACGCAGCAAACTGCTGGGATGAGCCATCTACTGGATGACTATAAGACGTGATGGGGCAGATCTAACTCTCTAGAACTCTGAGGTAGCATTTATAGTGCAAAAATAAAAAATGATAACAGTTTTACAACTTTTTTTTTTTTTTGCTGCATCTGAATACAACCACAAACTTGAATGTATTTTTTTTGGAAATGAGTGAGGTAGTCCATGACAAATAGTTCATGAAGTTGAAGGATATCAAAATGATTAAAAGAATTTGGCACTGATAAGTGCAGTGAGCACTGTTATAATGATCCCCAAATACTTCGTAAAACAACCTTTCACAACCTTTATAAGACATTTCAATAAACTTCATATTTTGATTATTCAACAGAGGGTCCGCAACCCCTAGGGGGTCCACGGAGGTACTGCATGGGGGTCGCAAAAGTTTTGGTTGATTAGACTTTTTTTAAATACTTCCCACCTGCAAATTTTTCCACTAATTGAAATGTCTTGAAATACACATCAACATGAATTCAACTAAAAAAAATAAGGTAGAAGATGTCTTTCAGTCATCAATGCTCACATTCAGTGACACACAGGAGCTCTTTCAAATCAGAAATCAGAAATATTTTAATAATCCCAGGGCGAAATTACTTTCGTTACATGACTCCATGTGTAAAGGAGTGACTATAGGACCAGTTTAATGTAACACAATTTCATACAATATATATAATTAGGGGGTCCCTGCTTCATCTCGCCATCAGTTTGGGGGTCCCTGCTCTAACACATACATATACTTTCATCTAAACAGTTTTTACTGCAGCTTTGCCTCACTTCTATAGCTGTCCTGTACTTTGCTCTAGGCTGACCAGCTTCCCCATTTCTGCTGAATAAAAGGATCCCCCACAGCAAGATGCTGCCACCAATATGTTTCACCATAGAAATTGTGTTTTTAAAGTGTTACAAAATGTTTGTTTTCTCCACAGTCTGAGTTTAGCACGTAAGTCTCACTTCTTGTATATTTTTGTCTTCATTTCACTTACAGCAAACTGCAGAAGCCTTTGATGATTTTACTCAAAAGGTCAGATTTGGATTGCACTGACAAAGAGATCTGCAGCTCCTATAGAAAAAAGTTGCTTCACTGTAACTCACTAATATTCTCTGACCTCTGAGGCCTTCAAAAATGCATGGTGATGCCTTGCATTTCTTTCTTTAGAGGTACTAGCAGACTTTTATTTCTAAAACAAATTAAAAAAAAAACTCTTTCTTCTAATTTCACCGTTATACACTATGTTTGGATGTTTCCTATAGTTACATAAAAATCCCAACGAATGTCTCAGGTTTGTGGTTTAAGTGAGAAAACGTCAGAGATGAGGTATGAAAAGCTTTGAAAGGCCCTGCATGTGGTAAAAGGAAATTATTTTTTGAACAAAAACTGAATAGAAAGGACAATTGGATAAGCAAATATTTTCTATTATAGGTCAAAACTTAAAATGGGACAAGTGGTATAAAACATGTTGACTGAAGTGTGTGTTATGTGTCACTTTGCTTTCTTTCTTTCTTTCTTTCTTTCTTTCTTTCTTTCTTTCTTTCTTTCTTTCTTTCTTTCTTTCTTTCTTTCTTTCTTTATTTCTTTCTTTCTTTCTTTCTTTCTTTCTTTCTTTCTTTCTTTCTTTCTTTCTTTCTATGGTTTTCACACTCACATTACAATGAATTTCTAAAATCGTGAGTTTATCTCACAGTGGTAAAAACAAAACCCAGTCTCTCATATATTCAAGATGCTTAATTTTAAAAACACAGATGCCTATTGGTTTTCAGCATTGAGTGTGTCCTACCGGAGTTTCTGCGGCTGTCTTCTTTCTCTAATCTCACATCTGCGACTGAGGCTGTAGCCGCGGACATGGTGGCAGGCAGATGCGTCCACGCTCCGCTCTTCCTATTGGTCTGCGTAAAAGCAGCTCTCCAAGAACCACCTTTTGTCCTTGAAGATATATTAAAACATTTCCCGCAGGGTAGCTTCACTATCGTTCGTATCCCGGACTGATAGAGCTGGTCAGCCTCAGTCTTCCCTGCCAAGCTCTCCTCTCTGGCTCTAACCCCAGTCTGGGCGGCGCGCCGCTGCAGAGAGCTGCTGTCGCGCAGGCGGATGTACAGTGAAGACCTTGTCAACCAAAGCAGAACTGACTCTGTGGATTATAACAGTGTAGGTCAGGTTGCACGACGCAGGACCACAAGTGACAGGATGTGAGGCACTTTAACCTCAACTTAAAGGCTGTGTTGTCTGCAAAAACTTAAAATTAAAACCATCCAAGGAGTTAGACATTTTTACCGACTAAAAATGGAGAAAATTGTATTGCGCGCAGCCTTTATCATCTTCATGTCTGCTTAATTATCAAATGAATATATCTGTGCGTAAATGCGCTCATTTTTTTCCCCTTGATTAGCCATCAATTTAGTCTCTGAATACTTTATCCAATATCTGCTTTCAAAGAAAAAGGGGTGCAGTAGTTAAAGGTGCTAAGCTGATGAGAAATAACTATGTTCAATTTTTCAAACGTCACTTCAATGCATTATTTGATGAAACTTACTCACTTCCTTTTTTTCCTCACATGCTTCTGAAACCTTGCCTTGCCTGTTCTAAACGGATAACTTGTAGCGACAGTAAACCAAATAAAATAATATAAAAAATAAGAATAACAGTACAGCCATTTCTGTTAGGTTCCTTTTCTATTCTTGGATTTAAGAAAACATTGAAAACATTTAAAGTGTGCTTATAACGTAGCAGAAAGTACACACCCACCATTTCCCATATCAAAATACAGCATGATGTGTTTCTTTAAATGCACTATTCTGATCAAAATTCTGGAAAGATATCCCAGACCCTGTCTGAAATGCTGGGGGCAAAATCTTAAGAGCCCTGTAAGGACATTTAAGAAACAATTTTGATGAAATTACCAAACTTTTCCTCCAAGTTGGTAAGTGTTGCAAGAGCAACAGTTATTTCTGCATTTGGTACACTTTAGTCTGTCAATGCATTTCAGCTTATTGCCCATTTGCTCTCTCTGCACTCTGCTACACCAAGATAGGTTATATCTATTTTGTTTAATGCCTGTTTAGGATGGTTTAAGGTGATATTTTTTAGTTTGCTAAGTGGTGTGACCTAAGAAAAATGATCTGGGTGGTAATCTCAATGCTTGACGGTGTGAAATGGTTCTGTTTGGGCATCCCCATCAACTAAGCACGTACCAGCTTAAATCTACCAAAGAGTGCTGACATACCAATGTCAGACTCTGACTTAAAAGCATTCATACACTTTTGCTGTAATTAACAAAGAAAACTCTATATTTTAAATTTAAGCCCATAAAGTAAATGTTTATGTGCTTATTTATCAAGGTTGGATGATGAAGTTAGGAGAAAAAAAGAAGACAACAAGAAGGCTAGAGATATAACAAACTGCAAAAAATAAAAGAAAGATTAAAAATAGTATTTCTTTACCACTGACATGTTATTCTACACAACTGAACAATAATGTCATCCTGATACGCATAGGAATCATCACAAGTATTTCTGCCATCTGCCTCTCCAGAATATCCTACTTTATCTAAGAGAATCCTACATTTATACTGATAGTCTCACATTGACCTGTTCACTAATGTTAAACTATAGCAGTGTAGCTATTAAACTATTATTTTTAGAATGCCATTAAAAAAAAAAAAACCTGTAAAACTTTTCACCACTTGTTTGACACTAAGAAATACTTTCCATCTTCATGCTAAACATGTGATTAGAAGGTGGAAAAAATGCTGTTAAAAATAAAAAGCAGAAGTTTTGCACATTTAGAAGAAACAAAAACATAAAAGTATAAGTTTGGTAAAACGACTTGTGTCTATAAAGAGCACTTTAAAGTTACTTTTGTAAAATCAAGAAAAAAGCCATTTGAAACATTTTTTGGTACCATTTGTTCATTCTTTTTTGTTAAAACAAAATTGTATACTGCTTTTAGGATTTTTCCTTTGCTAGAGTGATTACTGATTAAAAAAGGCACTTATAAAACAAACTTAATTTTCAATAAACTTTCTGAAACATGCAATATTCAATCTCAAAGCAAGGGCCTCATTAAAAACCAGCTGTGCTGCTGAGCTATACAGGCCCTAGACCAACTCTGTCAACATAAGAAGAGACTCAGAAAGGATGCCAGCTTTTTCTCTCCCATACACACAGTGAGCGTCCGTCTACAGCCTCAGAAATTATTCGCTTTCTGTTATCTATGTGTCTTATCTCTAAACCAATCACTTCGTCTAGCTGGTCTGTGCCCATGAGGGATGGGATTGTGCCATAAATCTGTATTTCATCAGCACTCAACAAGGAATAAGAGAAGATCTATAAAAGATAACTAAAAACTAATGAGTGATTACAGTATATTTATAACATTTTACAATTTACACCCTTTTGTCAGGTTGTGTGGAGGTTTTTAGAGGACCCAAAAGCAGAGACAGTAGCTGATGTGGTTTCTTGCTGATTTAATAAGGAGTAGTGGCAACAGAAACATAAATCCAAAAAATAACCGATAAAACAAGAACCAGAACAAAGGGGAACACATGGGTTAAGGAGGGAAGGAAGGAATGAAGAAAATCCAGCTATGAGTAACTGAACAGCAGGTGTATATATTGGAGATAGACACAATAGGAGGACTAATTAGCTGATAGGGAGCAGGTGTAGACAGAAGTAGCTAGAAGGGAAAAGACATAAAGAATAAAACACTGCTTAAATATTACACAAAATGGAAAAGAAACCAATGATCAAGAAAACAGAATAAAATAAATGTAACTGAGAACTTATAAAGAAACTTAAACAGAAGTCCACAAAGTGCAGAAACATGACACCTTTCAGGATAGAAACATTGTAATTTTACCAGTTTTTAAACTCTACGAACATTAGTTTCTTTTACACAGTTTTAGATTGTTGTAATATTAGCAGTCATGGATAAAGTCCTGCATTCCCAGTCAAGCTCTTCAATGCTACCAGGAGCCTTCTGACTACACGATCCATCCACTTGTATTATTATGCTTATGTTAATAAACTGGCTTGTTGGTCTTTCCTCATTGCAGATAGAAGAGAGCTAAGCCTGTTCTGTTGAAGCTTAAACCAAGCATCAAGGAAAAAATTGGGTTGTCATCTTTCTTGTCTTTGGCCCAACAACAATGCTCCAGTACTTGTTCTTCATGTGACATACATTGTCCTGCAGACAATTTCCTTCAAAAAACATTTGTAAATTTTTTGTGTTTGTTTTTTGAGCTCAAGTTTGATCCTAAAAATAGAAAATGTTACTGAGGTGTGTAGCAAGAATTTATTACATATTTTTATGTAAAATAATTAGAAATGTCCAGAGTATGAAATCTAAATGCTTCTTTGATTTTAATTATCAGGAATATATTATTTTCTTTTGCTCTTCATGCTCTATTCATCAGTATAGCCAACCCACTGACTAGATCAAAGCTTTTGTTAACTTAGTGAAATCGTTTAAGGAAAGGGGATTGTAAATCCTTTCTTATTTTTTTCATTTAATGCCTTTGTGGTTAATTCAGAGTTTCCTTGCTTGGTTTTGGGTGCTTGCTGCTTATGTGCAACATGATTCTGCTTTTGAGTCATCATTTCATTGTGAACGCTAGAATCTGGTGCAATCAGAAAGGGCTTCTTAGGGAAACAAAGCACACAGTTGCTCTCACGGTTCCTATTGCAACAAATCATAGATGACAGACAAGGCTGGACTGGAAAAAAATGGCAATTTTCAGTCATCGTGGCAAACCAGGATTTGCTATAACTTAGGCGAGACTCACGGCATAACAGATGAGATATGCGCAAGTTCAGAGGTGTCAAAAATAATTATTAAGTGAAAGGAACAACTGAAGCTTAAAAATAATATTTCGTAAAAAGGTTACTAAAGATTTGATTTGTTATTTTAAAAGAAATATCTAATAAACTAAACATAAAATTGTGAGAAATGTTGGTATTGTTGTAAAGACCGAAGTAGAACATATGCAATATAAAGTGTTCATGCAGAAGAAACCCTACCCTGAATACTTTTTGAAGGGATATAATTTGTTTTGACATCATTTGATTTGCTTGTCATTTGGAAAAAAAAAACTATGAATTATTTAACTCTTGCAGTTTTTTAAAGTTAAAAACCCATTTGTTTAGAACTGCCTTTGAAAGTTAAACTGTTAACTGAAGTATCATTAGTTTAGATTTGTGGTCCAACCTTTTTATTTGCTTTAATCTTGTTATTTTGCTTTACTTGCTATTTTATGCATTTACTTTCCTTCTATTTTACTGTGTAATTCAGATAAGGTCCTTTGCATTCCCTTTGTACGGCACTGTACTATATAAATAAACTTGCCTTGTCTGTGTCAGAGATGAATAACTTTACTTGTGAGGGTCAAGTTTGACAATTACACAGTCCCATCTGTGCCTTTTTTAGATGAAGAGGCTTTTTTTTCGTCTTTTGACCATTCGCCATTGTTGTACAGCTGTACTTGGGTAGGACTCAGCTACTCTGATACTGTAGTTGTTAACTGCAAAACATCGGTCAAGAGTTGGTCTCAGTGCAAAGAAGAGGAGTTCAACTACTTTTGACTCTGGACATTTGTTTTTACAAATCTTTAAAAATCCTCTCTAAATAAACATTACAACATTTTAATCGTAAGATGTTAATCTGCCTTTTAAAATGACCATGTGATATTAATCACAAAGCTTTGAGATAATAATAGCCGAACATATTCTCTGAAGCAAGGGCGTAGGTTTGATTTGAACTTTGGTAGGGACACTATCAGTCGGTTGTCATTGGTGCTATGCAATATGCATGTCCTTTTTTATGCACGGTGTGAGGATCCGTACTAATAAGACTAATTCATTGTTAAAAGAGAAAAGCATAATTTTGCTACATTAATAAAAATTGTATAAGCACTACATTCATTAGATGCTGTTTATTAATGTTTGAAGTATCACCGGCTCTGATCAATGTGGAATTAGGACTGTTTTCCACTTTGAAAATGGTTTAATTTGAACGACTAAGAGAGAAGGTAAATACAGTATTTTCTTCTGAAGATATAGAATTGTGCAGAGTTAAACCCCACTCTTATATTTTGACCTACTATGCTCTCTCTGTATCAAGCAAAATAATACATT